AAAAATAAATAAATAAATAAATAAGTTTTACCAAAATAGGTCTGATCTTACTTGGCTCTCTGAACCATATGCTCTGGTAAAGGTCCTAACACCCTCTCCATCATTGCCAAGTGTTCTAAATTCTCATGAGTCTGAAACAAAGCTTCACCCTGAAAGATTTCATCATATCTTGTATAAGTACATGATGAAATGATATATGTAAATCAGTTTATATATAAACTTACTGAAAAAGGAAGAAGAAAAGAAAACAAACCGTGAATAATTCAACAAGTATACAGCCAATACTCCACATGTCGCATGGGTAGCTCCATCCAATGCCTGTGATATGGATAAATCCACTCATTAGGGTTTAAAGATTTAGGGATTATGGATTAGGGTTTATGAAAATCAACCTAGAATAACTTCGGGTGCACGGTAGTGTCTTGTAGAAACAATGGAACTATGTTTTTGATTATCATAAGCAGTACTTCCAAAATCAATTAACTTAATCTCACTTGACTTTGGCAAGCATCTGAAATGTGTTTCACCTTGTGAAGTCCTCTGCAATATTTCAAGATAAAATTATCAAAAAACAGAACAAATCTACCAATTGCATTATGTCTCCAACCTCAAAAAGGTCATTTGTTTACCTTGTATCCAGGAAGCTTTAAATAATCAGAAGAGACAAGAAGGATATTCTCTGGCTTCAAGTCAGTATGGATCAACCCTAAACTATGCATATCTGCAATATATGATGCATAACAAATGGATGTTATCCAAAAAAGATTGTGAGAATTCTTATTACTTACACCTATTTTTTATGACAAAAAAAGACTATTAAGAATAATCTACACACATGCTACAGATTCCAAAAGCTGACGTCCAATTTCACGAACAAGATCCACAGGGAATGGGCAGTATTTATTTCTCTTTAAGAAATCAAATAAACTTGGTCCAAGCTTCTCAAACACCTGATCACCATTAAAATGCATTCAAAGGAGGTTTCATGTTCACTTAGGCTAGTTATCAACCTCTGTAAATTCATATTCTAACAAGCATCACATATATATTAAAGCACCTTATCAACAAAGAAGTAGCATGATTGACAAAAACAGGAGAACAAAGTCATCTAGAATTCAAGACACTTACTATGCATATGTGATTGCGGTAATCGAACCAGTTCAGGATCTGGACACAGCTGCAGAAATAATTGAAGAGATGATGACATCCATGAATGATGAAGAACTGACACAAAAGTGAAAGAAACATACTGTGATCTTCCTTTATGATTCTTAGCAAGTTGTTCAAGTACATCAACTTCAATCATTGCAGCATCACGATATTTTCTTATGCTTCGGACTACCTTGATTGCTACATATCCACGGGTTTCACGATCCCAACATTCCAAAACTCGACCAAAGGTGCCTACAGCACTAGCAATTTGCTGATACCCACAAAAGAAGAGTGATAAAAATATAAGATTTTGCAGACAGCGGACACTTTACAGCTAACCTTCACCCATTTTGCTCAGTATTTTATCTGAATGAAATCGTTAAGAAAAAATTAAATTGTCAGTTGATGTGATATGAAGAGGTCAAAGAAGCGATAGCAAGGAATTCAAGGACAAAGAAAACTCACATCTTGGAGTTAGATTCTCTCCAAGATTGTACGTATAATGTCCCTCACGATCATCCTTTCTTTTTGGAGGCGAGATATGACGCTGCCGTACTTCAGCCTACAAAGAAAATCTCACCGTGAACCAAAAAACCCTAACCTTAATGTTTCCCAACGGCATCAAGCGAGCATCAAAAACCAACCTCTTGTTGTTCTGCTGGGGATGCTGCCACATCCCATGTAAGACGCCGTCGTTTCTTGTTGTGTTGCTGCTCCTTCTCTTCTACCATCAGAATTCCTGAAGAATCAATCGGGACCATTCGAACGCCCACAGATAAATTGCTCTCTGCAACCAAAAAAATGTAAATTTTTGCAACACTATAGTTCAAACTGAATTATAATATAGAAGCTTTCTTCTGAGTAGTTTGGATTTCAGATTTAGGGTTTGCAACGAAGGGGGAGGAAGACAAAGTTAGGGATTTTGAAGGGATAATCGTGCACTGCGGTCTTCGTTACACGTATTCGTATTACGTGGTAACCCGGTCGGAACCCGCTTGGGTTTGTGAGACCGACGAATGTGGACTTTTTTTTACTAAGGGGGTGATACTTCCACAAATACATTTTTATTCATCCACTATAATTGTAGTTATGGACAATTATACCCTCAGGCCTTCTTGTATACCAACGACGAAGAGGCTCGTGGTCTATGTGGCCACGAGCGTTGTTCGTGCACACCATCCCGGCCTAATGTGGTCGGGCGTTTTCGTGATGGTTTGTGGTGGGGAAGACGAACGACAACGCCCAATGAGGGCTTCTCCTCTTCTTCTTCTTCTTCTTCTTCTTCTCTCTCTCTCTCTCTCTATCTCTCTCTCTCTCTCTCTCTCTTCGTTCTTCTGTTCATGGTCGTGGAGGGTACTCCATGACTTTGTGGTGGGTGGTGGTGATGGATTTGGAAGCTCTCCATGGAAAGCATAGCAGATGGCTTAATTATAACTTTTCTTGTTAAACCTACATCCATTCACCCCTTTATTTTGTCTCTTCCCTAAATCACAATGACACAATCTTAACAATTTCATTTTAAAAAACTCGGTCAACATCACTTATAGTCACATGTGATGTGAGCTTGAAGTCATGAAGGAAACATATAACATGCGAGCTTGAAGGACTTCTGATTTGTTCATTCGTTTTTCCCTCATATTTTCTCCCATTCTCTCTTCTCTTTTTCGCATCTTCACTACCAACGATGAACACCATTTCCACAACATAGTGGGTTGGTTGTGGAATGGTAAAATATTTACGTGAAGCTGAGTTGGCTGGTGGTTTGGTTATGACCACTCCTAACAACCTTAGTCAATGTAGGGATGAGTGCGGGACAGAACGGGTACTGACCAATACCATTATCGATTTCTCGAATACAGAATTTGATCGAAAGTCAATCCCGAATACGATCTCGAGTTAACGTTATCGGTACCAGTACCGGGAATGGTACCGGTTTCGATACTAGTACTGGTACCAACGATACCGTATCCCGAATTTTATGATTTTGAAGAAAAAAAATTAAGGCTCATAATACGAAACATTATGGACATGCTCATCGGAATTTGTTAGTTATAGACTTTTTATTTTTATTTTAGACTTGTTTGAGTTTAATTCATACTTATAAGGACAAAATATCCCTAAAAAAGATAAATTGATCAGAAGGGCGGTTTTGTTATGGTGTCCGAAGTGACACCGACAACACCTAGATGTACACAATGCAAAAAATTTCGAAATTTTTTTAATTCTACTATTATGTCACTGTAAAGTTTCTCGTGTCACCCCTATTATAAAATTAAATGGCCGTCCATCCATCGTTTGATATGTTAGTCATAAAGACAAAAAAAAAAAAAAAAAAAACACATAAGAAATTTGCATAAGCTATTCGTGGTTTTTACCGGCAATGAATTTTTGTCTAAATTCATAATAAACAAACTGAGATATGCTTGTATGGTTGATAAAAAGTGTACTATATTTTGATAAAAACACGTAATTTCATTGCATAAATAAATGATTGACCAATAAAGAAGAAGCAGCCCACAGATTCTTCAAAACCCCATTTACTGTGTGTAGTTCGTTGTGGACATCGGCTCCATAATCTCGCGTTTCCCCGACGCGACGCACACGAGCCTATAAGAACAATCAATCTCCCATTCATAACATCCTCAATTCTTCATTGCACGCATTGAGTTGAGACTTGAGAGCATCGATATGCAGAGTCTGCAACAGAAAGCTTCAGAGTGGAGTGGCGTTGACCAGGAAGATGCCTTCTCCATTGACGAGGTTAATCTTTTTGAGAAGCTAGGGCTTCAGACTTTCATCAATCTCTCCACCGATTTCTACACAAGGTATTCTTTTTCAAACCCCACTTTGTTATTTGGGGGAATGAGAATCATTGTTGTTTTACTTGATGGGTTTTCGGTAAAATCCGTAAAGATTCATAGCTGTGCTTCTATAATCATCGTTTTATGCGTTATTTGGGGTCCTTGCTGATTCAAATAATGGGTGTTGAGAAAATTAATGGATACAAATCCACACTTTTGAATATTGATTGTTTGAGATTAGTGCTCGACTTTGCACTCAAACTGATCATTACTGATTACCACCTCCGAAATTATGCAAACTTCTTAACTGCTTATGAGCAACTCTGAATAAAACGTATAATTATCTAAGAAAGATACTAAATTTAGATACTTGGTGTTGGATTAGTATCAAAATGCATATAATTTTACAACCAAGCGGGTTTCAAGGATTTAGAGTAATGTTGCTTATTTATTGATTTGATTTGTATTCCTAAAATGCTGCAATGACTAGGGTTTATGATGATGAAGAAGAGTGGTTCAGGTCTATTTTCGCTAACTCAAAAAAGGAAGATGCCATTCAGAATCAATACGAGTTTTTTGTGCAAAGAATGGGAGGACCTCCTCTGTACTCTCAAAGGAAAGGTAACCATACTTTAGCATATCTTCAAGACCTAAATGAAAGAAATATCAACATATTTTCATATATTTCTACTTTCATCTTCATTCTTGTTCTTGAACACTCAAAAAAACGATTGTGTGCAGGCCACCCTGCTCTGATAGGGCGGCACCGCCCATTTCCGGTGACTCATAAGGCGGCCGAGAGGTGGCTACACCACATGCAACAAGCATTAGATAACACTACAGACATTGATCATGATTCAAAAACCAGAATGCTAAATTTCTTCAGGTAAAGAGAGCTCACTAATCACCATTTAGTATACTTTTTTTTTTTCTTCCCAAAATGCCCTTCTCACTTTTGATGGTTTTGCAGGCATACTGCATATTTTTTGGTGGCTGGTAATGATCTGAAAAGTCAAAGCCAAGGAGCTCCACCTTGTAAGAATGGAACCAACAAACCAGCTGCAGAATAATTCTATTCTTTTTTTTTTTTTTTCAGAAAAATGTGATATAAAGAAATTTGTTACTGGAAAAGAGACATAGATGTCATTTAACTTCAAATAATTTTTTTTTTTCAATGATAAATGTTCTTCAATACGCAATATGCTTATGGTTTTATTCATGCTTCCAAAAGAGGGGGTTGCATGTTTGTGCTTTTATTACTTATGTTTGTAGAATCTTTAAGTTATTATGATAAGTGTTTAAATTAGGTTTTGTGATTTATGGATGTTAATTTTATGCATCATTTTAAGTACAAAATCCCATTATAAATCTGTTAGACTCTAATGTTTTCCTACTTAACTCCTATTTTGTTCTTGATTTATTTGTCTTCATGAAGATGAAGATGATCGAAATTTTGTTCATTAATTTTTATCACCATGAAAGACCGATATGATTTTGGAAACTGAAGATTGGATTTGAGGAACATGTGTTTAGAATTTAAATGCCATTTTTTTGTTATCTTTTTGAGAGTTTTTTCAAACAAAACAGTTTTTAAAAATTGAAAACACTATTGGATGAGCTTTTTCCAAGTAACTTATTAATTAACAAGTTTTTGTTAGATTTTCAACCCACTGTAAATAAATAAACTCATAAATAAGCAAATTAAAAAAGTTTTATTGTAGAGATGCAAATAGCTTTTCGATTGAAACTTTAAAATATATATATATAAGCTCTTATATTGTGGATGTTCTTAATGATGGTGGGTGATAGTTGCAAATGTGTCACGGTATCCAGTAAAATTTATATATATTTATTTAGAGACAGATAATAGAAATAATTTGTTAAAACAATTTTAATATTTATAATTTTGGACCAAAATTATAATTAAACAACTAAATCCTTAGGCAATGCTTTTATATTTTTTTCTTTAAGAGCATTTACTAATTAAAATGACCACGTAACAGGAGGGCATTGAGGATACTACAGTACCCCCAAAAAATTGTTTTATGTATATAAAAAAATTAATTTGTTAACATGTTCTATGTTATTATATCCCCAGCTAAAGAGATTGTATCATTTTTTTAATTCACCGAATATGATAACTACATATAATATTTATTGATAATGTGTGTACTCCCATTTAAAAATTTCTAGCTCCGCCACTGCCACGTAAAGCCTCTTATATCACATCATAACCATATTCTTTTGCAATATTAAAAGATGACCGGCAAATCACAAATGTGCATCGATAATAACTAATGTTGCTTGTTTTTTTCTAAAAGAATGTTCTTGTTGATTTTTTGTGAAATTTGTCACAATAATTTATGACAACTTCTCAACCACGTACAACATGTATTCTCGCAAATTACCCCAATTAGTAATTAATTTATATTTGCAAGCTACAGGATTATAGATGGATAACATTGGTTAACATGTTCCTTAGTCATTTTCTTCCCTTTTCTACTTAAGAAATTATAATCCAAATGATTTTGTTTTGAAAATTGTTTGTTAGATCATTTAAGAAGTCCAATTAAATTTTAAAAAAAAGTTCCAATCTCCTTTGATACCAACAAAGATGATTTTTGTTGTAAGCTTTTCTAACAAAGAGTTTCAGTGTCCAATGCTTGATGCTTCACAAGTCCACCAAGGTCATAAGGACTTTTAACCCTAGACCATTTCAAAGATATTTATATGTTAGGCCAGATGGAGTGGGTGAGGGAAGGGGTGTGGGAGACTTTCCCTCTCACCTGAACACCGCACCTTGATCGAGGGAAATTTGGTGAAGGAAGGAGATGGGGGAGCCGGTTGCCGCATTCACTCTTCATTTTCTATTGGCCGATTTTTTTTATCTTTTTTTTATTTATTAAATTACATACCTACTAAAAAATTATAAAAAATATATCAAAGTTCATAGTTTTTAATTCTCTATAAAATAAGTATAATATTTGTATGAAATATATTTAAAAAAAAATGAAGAAGCTTCCCACCCATTCTTTGGGTTTAGGAAGGAAAGGAAAATGAAAAAAATGATGTTGTGGCCCACAAAAAGTGAAAAGAGTCTCATCCACACCATCTGATCTTAAAAAACTATGTAGAGCTGTGAAGAAATCCAAGAGACTGACTTAAAAGGTGTAGGGAAATTATTGTGCATAGTGACCATATTGTAGTGTAATCCAAATAAAAATATTTATCACAATTAAAAAGAGATAAATTACAAAAAATGCATATTTGTTGCCGATATAGACACTTCTTGACTCCAAAATTCCACCATGTTGAAAAGGGAATTCAAATTAGGAAAGGATTTATCGATGTCCAAAAAAACATTTTATCCATTACATC